TTCATGCCGACGTCAGAAGATGGCCGTATCCGTTAAATTAATTTTAAAATTAATACATATGATTTATGTTAATAAAATATTAAATTAATCTAATAATTAGTTTTTTAAAATATTTATTAAAAAATAATATTTTTAAAGTTAAGATACGTTATTTATTATTAGAATTATTATTAAAATGCTATTGCGGCCGAAGCTCTTCATGCCGACGTCAGAAGATGGCCGTATCCGTTTGATTCCTAGTTCTTAGAAAGGGTGTAACTAATTGAAGAGCCATTAAATTTGTAAGATTATAACTTTTAAGTCCCTAGATTTAGAAGACTCTTTAAAATCAAATAAGACTATTTTAATTTAGGGTATTAGGATTTCGAATTTTTAGGGTTGTTATGTTAGAGATTAAATTATATTTTTAAGATTTAAGACGTTACGATTTAAATTTTTGAGGTTTAAATTTTTTAAAATTCAATATTTAAGATCTTAGTTAGGACTTAAAATTTTTAGAATTCAAAATTTAGGATGTTATGATTTAGATTTCTTTTTGAATTAAATGCTTAAAGTGTTAAGAGTATTTAAGGCATTAGGGTTTAAATTTTTTAGGTTCTTTATTTTATGATATTATGATTTGGATTTTTTGGGTTATATATTTTATGCTCTTAAGGTTTAATTTTTTTAAAATTTAGTGTTTAATGTGTTATAGTTTATATTTTTTAAGTTTAAATATTTAAAGGTTTAAGTGTTTAATAATCTAAAAATTAAAATTATAGGACCAAAAAATTAAAAATTAAAATTTAAGAAGAAAAAGATAAAATTAAAAAAAAAAGCTATAGGGACCAATCGGTCCCTATACCATTACCCTTACTATTACTCACTTTGCATTTTTTTAGTTATCCTAGTCCCTCAAATATATGTAAATTAATTTGATAAATTTATATAATAACTAAATGAAAATTAATTGATAAGTTTTTTTTATTTAAGTAACAATACTCAACAAGAACTAAGTATAGAAAAAAAAAATTTAATTGTCATATATTTACAAAAAATTATTATTATGCATTCAGTTTAATATATTTTTTAACAATCGTTCTCGTTTAATTATTAAAATATAATATAAATATAACTACTTCAGTTAGTTTTTTCATCTTATATGCATAATTATATCTTTAAATTTGTATGTTTTAATTTTAGACAAAAAATAAATTTTTAATAAACTCATTGTATAATATATTGAATCAAAATGTATATCAATAATTGTCATTTATTTACTACTCTCTCCTGTTCTTTTTAATTGTCCCAGTCTCTCAACTTTATGTAAATTAATTTGACAATTTTATGTAGTAAATGAATGACAATTGAAAATTTTTTTGTTTAAATAAAAATACCCAACAAAAACTACATACGACACTAGAAAAAAAATTTTCAATTGTCATATATCAAATTATCTTATTAAATTTTATTCAAAAGTCAATTTAGAACAACTAAATCCTACAAAAGAAAGTATAAAAATTATTTAATCAAATTTTATGCAAAAGTGAAAATAAGATAACTAAATTCATTCAAATGGGCTATTACAATTAATATTTTACTTTTATAGAAAATAGTAGTACGGAGTAGATAAGTAAGAAGAAAGTTGGCAATGGGGCAGCCGCCCCAAATTATTTTTAAAATATTTAATATGGTATTTCTACCTTTATTTATTAAAATATTAGTTTTAAAGTTTGAATTATAGGTACCATTTCAATGATTGAGTAAATGTTGAGCACTTAGGTAAAGAATTTTTCAAAAAAAAAAATTATGATTCAAATTAAAATGAAGTTTATTTTTTTTAATCTCTCGATATCTGGTCATTATAGTAGATCTTGACTAATTTAAAATCGAGTTGTGTCAGACCCTATAAAGGGAAAACTCTTATAATGTATATTTTTTCATTCACAAGATTCGAATTCAAGATTTTATTTAAGGAAAATCAAATTTTTTCTACTTAAACCAATAAATCATTAGTTGTTAAAATGAAGTTTATAAATTTGATTCTTTAGAAATTGTGTTTAAAGGTCTTCTCCCATATATATATATATATACAGCTTTGATTCTCTAGTTAGCAACTGCAAATTTGAAGTTTACTTAGGTTTTTTTTTTCTTACTTAATATTTTTTTATCAACTTCTTAATTAAAATTCTAACTAATCATTTGAAGTTATTTTGAGCACTGAGCTATTATTGCTTTTCTACCATAATCTTTTTTTTTTTTTTTTGGGGTGCTAAATCAGCCTAAAGTAGGTTTCGATTTCTAAATGAGACATTTTTTAGTATTTTCACAGTTGATAAATTTTGCTTTCGTGATATTTTTTTTAGTAATGATTTTGGGACTAAAATTCAAGATAAAATTTGAGGCAAAATTTATTTTAATTATTAATTGTGTAAATTCATATAAAGCCCACACTATGATCAATGACCACCGTGAATTAGTCTTAAAATTTGATCTTAATATCATTATTCTTTCTTTTCGTGTATATACTTTATTTTTTGGCCAGCCTTTCCTTGTATTGTAATAAAATGTATCTGTTTGTTTTTTTAAGAGAATATTAACGAAGAAAAAGACCTTTAAACCTTCAATAGCTTCCCCGTAACAGAATCTAACTATTCACAATAAAAAATTTGTTCCTTTTAATTGTTATTCTACAAAATTAAAGTTGATTTACTTACCCTTTTTTTTCCCATTTTACCCTCAATATAAAACTGTGGGGAATTTAGGTAAGGAAAGGAGATGATAGAAGGTTAAAATGGTAGCCTTATTTACCCAAAAAATCAAGAGAAATTAAATCCTTTTCTTAACCTTGATGAAATAGTCTAAAAGAACGTATAATAAGGAAAAAATGCAATAAGGGCTTTTTTAACATGTGTTTTAAGGATATAGATTAAATTTGTATTTCTTGTGATTTTTTAGTATTAATTTACATTAAAAAATGACAATTGATATTAATTTCGGCCTTTTTGTTACTTGGATGTTCTTAATTTAGACAATTGTTAAAATTAATATAATTTTTATTTTAAAAAAATGCATCATTAACAACACATGTTAAAAAAACCTATAAATTAATACCCTTGATTAAATTATAACATCTAATACCTTTGATTAACTAAAATAATATAATTATAATATTACGTGATATTATTAAATTATAATATAATTTATCATTATATAATTAATTTTTTTAATTTATAAGTTCACTCATGATATTAGCTATATATCTATTTATTTAATAATATGCAATCTTTGATAATATTATAATTATAGAATTGCCTATTGGATTAATACTCTTGATTAATCATTGCACCTAATACTAGGGTATGGATTTTCTAGTATAATTAACTATTGCACCTAATACATTTGAAAGTATATCTCATCATCTATAGATTTTGATGTGTGGATGTTGAAATGTAGCGTGTGTGGATGTTGAAGTCAAGGCAGGGCATGAATGTAATGAGCTGAGCTACTCATAACATATCTGATTCAAGTTTGAGATTTTTTAGAGGGTAATTTCTTTTAGATTGTTGTCATTTTATGCTAACGTAGATCGAAATATTTCAACCAATCTATTAGATTTAGTTTCCTTATTTCCCTTCACTTCAATTTAATATTGAGTTAACTCTATGCATATTGTTAATATTATCAGCAAGTCATATATTTATTAATAAAAAATCTATAAAGAATTATTCGTTTTCCTATCACCAATTTAAGTAATTTAATAAATTATTTTTTAAAAAAATAAAAAATACTGAATTTAAATCTTATAATATATAAGTAACATATTAAAAAATAAAAAATAAATAGTTTATATTATACAATTAAATTAAATAAATTAAAAAA